TGTTACTAGGAAATGCCCACACGCTGCGTGGAGTTTAAAAATTAACATGGTTAGAACTAACATTACTAATTTCTAGTTATCGATTATTTATGTATTTAATATTATATAATTTTGGTGGTTATAGTAAATAATTATCTAACTTAGAAGACTAAACATTTGTAACAAATTACAATGTTATATATATAATAGACCGTTGATTACTAAAAATTACATCATATGGAAAACATTTTCTTTAGTACAAATCCTTAGCTTGTATGTCTAAATCAATATTCACTACAGTTTCCTAAAAAAGTGATTCGTCGTCTTTTTGCACCAAATACGACAATTTGCTACAAATATATTGTACGACAATTTGCTACAAATAAATGAATTAAAGAAAAAAATGTCAAAAGAGTAGTTGCCACATGGCAGCCTCAACTTTAATATTAAAATCATTTGGTGTTTATAGTATATAATTATTTAGGTTAGAAGACTAAACATTTGTAAAAGATTATTATTGATAAAATGATATATGTAAAAATATCGTTCATTAATAAAAAATTTGTATATGAATTGACATAAACTTGTAACAGACATTTATTATATATGTGAGATAATACAAATATAATGTAAACTTAAAAAATATGTTTGGTCTTTTTTTCTTGCATCAAACACGTTCGTAAGGAAATTTATTGATCTGCATCATCTCAACAAAAATGTTGGAATGCGTCTGTATTTATATTTCGTTAGAACTTTGAATCGTAAAAAAAGAATAATGCTTGCTTGATTGTATTCTTGTTTTTTTTATTGTTTTGCTGTGATTTTTATCTTTCACATTGATTCATTGGTGAATTGAATTCTATTTTTGTCATCATGATTACAGTATGGAAGGAATAATAAAAATGAAAAGAGTTTTCTCAATTCACAGAAGTTTTAATTGCACTAATTTGTTATTAAGTTTTGTAAAAAAACTTTAAAAACTTTAATTATCACAAAAGTGTATTGTTGGGTTCAATAAATAAACTATCTATTTTCCAAACCATTAAAAAATTTATAATAACACATTTAATTTGGAATCATATTTTTTGTCAGTATCAAAAAAAAAAAAAGACAATGTCTAATGTATATTATAACTTATTAGAATTAAATAATATTAGAATTAGCTATTAAATTGTTGGAATTAATTGTCTAAGTTATTAGAAAGAGAAAAAGACTTATAATTTTCATTTTCTCT